GTGCGCATGAGAGAATTAAAATCACAAAAGAATAAGTATTTGATATATCATATGTATATTAACCGCGAAAATGTGTAGGAATAAGTTAAGAGAATACAAAATTGAAGAAAAGAATATGTGCAGCGCTAAAATTGTTTTGCCCTTCATTAATTCCGAAGCATGAAAATGTGAAAAATGATATTTATGCGTAAAATAAATAATGAAAATGTGGCATTTTATAGTAAATTTGTTAAAGAGAGCAATGAAAAACGCGAAGCGTTAAAAAGTTTATTGACACATGCTGACAGTGTAAACATGCTCGTGAAATATCAAAAATGATTGCGCGTTTTTTACCGTAAATTTGGAATATTTTGCTAGTAGAGTGTTAATTATGAAGGAGACCCGTTATTTGAACATTTTACATGTGCATATGTAACGAAATTTTAATAAAATCTCAATTTACAATCAGTTAATAATATCTAGCAGACAAGTTTCCATATGTCTAGATTTCTGTTGGCTCTGGACATTCCATGATTGTGTTAAAATTTTTAATTATTTTCGAAGTAGTTTTTATTCAATTACCATTGCGTCGCTCTTCATTTCTTTTTAAATGCATTTTACACTTTTAATCGACTCTCTTTCATTTAATCCGGCTTTTAGGCTGTGTGGTTATTTTGGCCATATTTTGCCATTTGCAATGTTCGAAATGTCCGAAAAAAATTCGTTGAACTTGTTGTCTTGCTATGTTAACTGGTTTTCGCTGGTGATGCGTCACAACGCCAAAATGAATTCACTTACTTACATATATTTGAACATTCAGCGAATGTTTTTGCTGCATTTTTCCTTAACGTTTTATTTTCCACTTTTTTACTTTGCTTGGAAATTATTTATGATTTGCCTAATACATAATTACAGAAAATACATACGTACACGTATGTGTATGTAAATTTCAAAACATACGATTTTGCTTAGGTTCGCATACGTTTAATGTAAATTTTTGATATTTGAATTTTTCGCCAGAAATTCGCAAATTTTTTTCCATTATATTTAAAATTATATATGAAATTTCTAAAATTGATTGTTTATTAAAAAGTAAACGGTACTCTCTTTCCATTTTTCAATTTTGTTCGGCTTACATATGTACATATGTACATATGAGAATAAGTTCAACAATTTACTGAAATGAATATTTTGAGAAAATGATGTGAAGAAGAGAAAATTTAATCAATAATCGTGATCTAAGTTTTTAATTTTTTAAGAATATTCCGTTTCGAAAATGCCTGCCTTATTGTTCCGCAAAATGTGAATGAAAATGCCGTTGGCATGCGACCTTTCGTTCTTATATGTAAATACATACATACGTGCTTGATTTTGTTTGAAAATAAATAAATTAAAAAAATTCTTAGTGAAATACATAAATTAAGCTAATAAAATAACTAAATAGCAAATTTAAAAATATGTATTTAATGATGATTTTCAATATAAAAGTGCATAAAATACAGTAAATATATACGTACAAATAATATGCTATATATGTATATATGTGTATAGTTTGATATAATAACAATTAAACCGTGAAGAATGCAAACATAATTGTAAAATACATACATACATATGTGTGTGTCGTGAAAAAGTGTTTAATTACTTTTATATGAAAAGGCAAGAAATGTGTGCATAAAAATATATTATTTAATAATAAAAGTTACACAATATTTTTTCAGAGCAAATTTCGTTGCGTTACGTTGATAATCTTACTATATATACTATACGTTAATAAATATTTAAGGCATAAAATAAAAGTCACATTTTGAAGAAGTATCAAACAAAGTGAAAATTGAGACAATATCAAGACGAGCTAATAGAATCCATTTAAAAACTGCAACGTATACATACAATGGCAACACTGTCTTCCACTACAGCCTTGAATGCTAGCGAACCGCCGAAAATTAGCAAATTTTTCAGTAGCAGCAGCAATTATCAGAGCAAGATCCAACAAGTGATCAGCTTTAGCTTCACCTCGTCCAACTTCATCTTTATCACATGCATATTAAGCATTAGTAAATTGTGCACGGTTACCGCTGGCCCGGTGCAAACTACCGCCGCTGCGAGTACATCTGGACCCACCACAGTCGGCCCACCATACAGTGCACTCAACGCCACAACGTTATTGGAGAAACTGCATTCGTTTGCAACAACGCTCGGCCCACCTGTCACATCGACAACGGAAAAGTCAACGAAAAATAGCGCCGCTGCGGCAAACAGCGTCAGTGACGGCAGTGGTTCAATGTCGTTTTTTGGTCGTAAAAATCTAATGAACTTCGATTTTAAATTTTTAAATGTCTCCGGCAAAATTGGCACATCACTAAGCATTGGTGAGTAAAATACAAAAACAAAATACTTATTATACAATTAAAGGTTAAATTAAATAATTTATTGGTTTTTAAAGCTAAAAAACCTGAAAACTACGTCACAGAATTCCTTTTTTTCTTTGCTGTTGTTGCTGTTTTCTTTTTAGTCCATTTAGTGAAAATATATTTTTACTTCGAATGTGCTTAAAAATAGCCAACATGCTGCTCTGCACTCCAATAATACACAACACTCGATATACATATGCATATCTATATACGTAATAGTCTCTTATACAAGGTGATATGAAAAGTGTCGAAAAGCTTTCTGTATTTAAAACCAATTTTGATTTTAATCTTTCTTTTTTTGTATTTGTTGTTACAATTTACATAACTATCTTAAAATATCTATAAAATCTACTTTTTATTGACAAGAAATATGAGAATGTGTTTAGCAGTAATTGCCTATTTATCAGCCGATCGCACAGTCTGAGCCATCAGACACTCAACCAGCCGTTTTTCACACTGACCTATGGGTAGGAAAAGGCCAATTGGTCAATTCTCCCTAACATGAAACAAAACCACAATAATTTTTAACTTTGTATCGACTTTTGCTTCTTTCTAGTAGGTTGGACTTTCTGTTGAAAAATACTAGTTTAGGCCATGCCACTCTTGATTAAGGAAGCCGAACGCAATTTCAAATAAATATTTTAGTATTTACCTTTTACTCCATGCATCAGCACCCATTATATACAAATTGATGTATAGGCATAGCCGACGTTGTGGCTGCCATACGAAATGTGCTTTCCTGTTTGTGGCATTTGCAGATAGTGTCCGTTTGGCTGCGACCACCGACAGCATGCTGTAGACATTTCGCTTGCCGCCTGTGCGAGCTTGTCTTCATATCCATCTTCATAGTTGTTTCTTTTGAACTTTAGGCACCGCCAGCCGTCTTTCTTCGTATTTACCACTGCACACGTGTGCTACACCGTTGGCGCTTGGTAATTGCCAAACGTTGGCATTCTTCAAAGTCAACTCACGCCGTCTACTTGCTGGTGCAGGTTTTTTTGTTTATTTTTTTCTGTTTGCCTTTTAATGCTTATGTACTTATGAAGTCTCTCCATGCCGCTGCTTCCACTGCCACCGTTGCATCTAAAAACTGAGTTCATACCGTCTGGTAGCTGACTACTTGCATTGGCTGACTTGGCTGCGCAACCGCGTTCGCTTTACGTGTTTCATTTGCTCATTTTACTTTCAAGTTGTCCGCTAGTTATTATTTCGTTTTTGCCTTGCAAAATTTTTACTTTTGCCATTGCGAGCTGACGTGTATACACATAATTATCGAATATACCGGCCGGCATTGAAACGAATTTATTTGCTTAGTAGTGTGGTGTGTGGCAAACGTGGTGTGATGCATAACAAAGTAGTATTTACACGTTCAAAAGTCAATGCATACTTCATCAACAGAGAGTCTGCCAGTGTGGAAAGGAGAGAAAGGAGAGAAAGGAGAGCAAGTAGAAGAGAGAAGTCGTTGGTGTGCTAAGGAGCAACAAGTGTCGGCAGCTTGAGCAGCTGGTGTAAAGTTGTGGCCACTTGTTTAAGTTTACACATATTAACCTATTTGGAAATATGTATGTATATATACATATATATGTATGTATGTACATGCAATGTATCACCTAAAATATCTTTTATGTATGTTCTGTGGCGGCACCGTGTGCTAAATTGTAGAATCTACTTAGTATGGAGTGAAATACAAATTGAGTTTATGAGGTCATAAGATCAGAGGTGCTAAATAATTTTACTTAACATTGAACTTAGTGGGAAGTACTAGACACATCTACATACGTAGACATATTAATTAGAACTTGACTCTTGTATATTTTAATGACAACCGTAATAACAATGAACAAACGTACGTAAATTCATGCTTATGACGCCAGACGCACCTGGCGTGCGATGAGTTCTGGAAAAAGATTTTCTATTTTGGTTCACAACATAAACTGTTCGTAGAGATCGGCAACTGTCAGTGGGCAATATATATGGGCGGAGCGTCAAATGTCAGATTTTCATAGCTAAAATATCATTAGCACGAAGGCTTACTGGTGGCAACAGTATTGATATTATGATCATTTCTTAGACGTATCCGCCCTCCGCACCCCCACCATCTTATTTGAAGGCATTTAAAAGATATTACAATAAGGGCTTCTTAAAAGTCCTGAAAACCACTGACAACTTCATTCATTGCAGAAATTAAAAAAAAAAGCAATTGTTTGTTTTTGTAATTCTGACCCCGTTTCGATCGTTTGGAATGTTCGACAGGAGATTGGTCCGTCTGTATAAGCACTTATTGTTTCGTTACACCAACGGGACTCTGGCATTAATGTTTATAATTTATTACAAATTCTTTCAATTATATTTTTTATCATTTATAACGTCTGAAGTTTCTCTGTATTAAATGTCTTAATGTTGGGTTGGAAACGTAATTAAAATAACGGTTATATTTATTTTTGCCCTAGTCCATTGGCTATTGCATAACGATAACATGATCGATAGCTAAATTAAATTAGAGAACAAATATTAAAGAGTAGGACCGAGGCGTGCCGACTGGCATTTGTTCCACCTACCAGATCGCTAAGTCAATATTTCACCTCTATACGGTATTTGTAAGAGACTGTTCCACCGCCAGTTAACTACGAATTACCAGAGACTGACAAATTATTTACAGGAGAATGATGTTTGGGAGACAATTATTTTATTAACTTCTTTTATGATTTTGCTTGGGAAGCCGCAGTGGTGCAATAGTCTCTTATTTCTTTCGTCGATTCTGGCAGTTCACATGCTGACCGCAATCGGTCCTTCTCGTTGTTTGACGTTCTCTGGTTCCAGCATTAACAATGTCATTCGTTTCGATAACTTGGCGCCGGAACGAAACAAAATCATTTCGTTAAGTAAATTTTTCTTATAAACAAATTGCATCGTTTTCTTAGCTTAGAATCTCTGATGTATATATATATATATATATGCGCAATAATTCTTTCAGATATCTAATAAATAACTTAAAGAAACTTTTCTAGGAAATTCTTTAAAGAAATTCTTTTATTCTACTAGCATTGGTTACTGTATCTTCTGGCTTGATTCCGAAGAAACTCGTATTTAACCAATGCAGCATTCATGAGCTTTTCTTAAAATAAGCAACACGTCCATGCCAACAAGCCATTCCGCTCTCTTTACTTATTCCCTTTCATTGGTATTCGCAAACGCAAGAGTTAGAAAGCAATCAGGCATAGCTGAAGAAAATGTGTTAAGCCGTAGGGCTCAGTCTACGCTTTTTTTTTTTAGCTGGCTGAACTTGAAATGGGTGAGGAGTTGAATTTCTCTTAAATGTATTGGTGGGCGATCTATGAAGCAAGGTGTGTAGGCTAAAAGGCGGTACTTTTTGTCTGAGTTCAAGCTCATCTGTCATCCATTGCCGGTTCCAATGTGACTATGTGTGCATATTGTTATTATTATGGAATAACGAAATTGCATTTAAATATAGAAATTGCATAATTTAATGCTCTTACAATACATACATATATGGGAGTAGATCAAAATTCATGGTTTTTGAACATACATACATAACGACTATGTAATATAAATGTCTACATGTACATATGTATACACTTGTATGTATGTATATGCATTCCGTATATGTATTATATGTACGTATGTGTGTGCAAGTGCTTGCACGTCATTTTGTGCTTCTTCCGCTGGTCCATCATCGGTGTGCCAATTATGGTGACGGAATGTCTGATGCGGCGGGTTCTTGCCTTTTACGGCTAGCATTGCAGCAGCCATCGAACGTGCGTGTGTGTGGTTGTATGATCCGTGATTGATTTAGCCTTGAACCGGCTACAGTATGTGGTTATTCAGCTTTTTCTTGTCGACGTTGATGATAAGTATTTTAGTGGGTTAATAAAAAACGAAAGTCAATGATGGTCGGCGATTAATTACAGCACTTGAAAATATTTCGTTGTTTTTGCATTTTTGCATCTGTTTCTACAAATATTTTCACATGAATTTTGCCATGAGAGCGCCAACATTTTGGTAGAAGAAAATCAAAGAAAGTCTCCAATATTAGTTAATCTATCAGCGCCAAAATATGAAGATAGTTGAGAGTATGACATAATACAAAACTATTATTTTTAGACTTAAAACATGGTATGATAATGTGATTATTGGAAATAATGAAATTTCTATTTCACTCAGGCTTGTGAAAAATTCCGAATTTTGCCCACCAATGATTCCCTCTGCCCATAGAGTACTTCAAGCAGTGAGTTTTTGAAGATGTCATGGCGCCTTAACAATGGCTAGTGGATAATCATCACTCCAAATGTCACCCACCCATTCAATTAATAGTGATAGATTGCTGAACAAAATATTCTTGGAAATTCTTGGGAAACTCGGGGTCTGTGGTCACTTAGTTTTGGGTCGTTCGGCTTCAATTCTTACGGGTCAAAAAGACCACAGGATTACAAAATTCATAGTGTGGGGAAATATTAATACGGAAGCCATATAAATTTTAGGAATTCAATGATTTTTTTGTATTAAAACATTCCTGGACTAAAACAGGCAAGTTCTGCTAAATACCCTTCAACAAGTTTTTTATTTCAAAATACACAATGCATGTACAATAAATATTCTAAATTTGACTATTTCCAAATCGATGAAAAATGGTTGCAGTAGAAGGAAAGTTTTTTTTGTTAACGCGATTTTGTTGTGTACTCTACTACGTCACTCAATTTAATAATTAATTCACTTTTTTACGCGCAGATAGTACAATAAACAGAAGAAACTTTAAATTCACTAGCAGGTGTAGTACATTCATTAATATACATATGTACATATATATGCTATGCACATATACATACATGAACTCAAATCAGTTTTTCAGCATTTTTTACAAGCACTTGCATATGTATATACATATGTATGTAAGTTAAATAATCCGATTAAACTCTACGCTTTTTAATTCTTTGATGGGATGTCAAAAAAATGCCATTTATATTGTTAGTAAATTTTATTTCTATTTTTCTATGCACATACGCGTATATCGCGTACGTGCGCATGTATGTATGTTTATGACAGAACATATGCTTGCGCATTTATCCAAATGTCAATACGACATGTCAGATGTCAACGCGAGCAGATGAGCACGTACATATCTACATACTTTTTTCAGCGAATGATTAATATGCTATCCTTGCGCACATATACATATGTACGTGTATGTATGTTTAAAAAAAGCGCAATCAAATTGCTCTGTGTTAGTGAATAATTACTCCAACAAAAAAAATTCTTTAAAGTTGAACTTTTTTTCATTCGAAATCGAAATTTATTGCCCATTTAAGTTACAAAAATGAGATAAATTTTGAAATTAAATTTTCTCTCAATATTTTAGCTTACGTTCTTCTTATCGCGAACGATTAACGGATGTCAAAAGTTGCACACACATTTTATAATTAAATTAAATTTAAACACAATTTTTTCCCGTTAAATGCTACATATATTAGTCGTGTTTTTTGTGCGAAATAGTATATGCACTGAGATTTTCTATTGTATCGAGCACGCGGTTTTTATAGCTCAAACATAAATTTAAGCATACATACATATTATAAAAACCCTTGTTAATTGCATATATGTATCTACATAGATGATATATGAACATACGTGTATGCGGACATAATGCTTAAATTTAAAATCTCGCTAAAATCAATTTGAATGAGTACCAAATCGAACTTAAAAAATTTGTTCATCAAGAATTAAGGAAAAGCTTAATTAAATTATATTTAGCTACAATACTGTTCTCAACTTAAGTTTCGATTTGCCGCTACCAAAATTGCAGAGTTGCATTCGCAAGGAATATTTTTCAAACTGTTTACGCTTTCATTTTTTTCGCCTGAAGTTGAGATCAGTGGAAGATAAACAAAAGCATGAATGTATAACAACACGATTTCACACCTACACATGCATTTAAGGATAAATACACCACCTTCATATAAATGTATGTACATACATACATACTTGCACATACGGTAATCCTTCGTACATACATATTCAGCATGCCAACTTCATCACGCCATTGCAGTGTTGTTTTTTTTTGCTGCTTTTCAACAGCTTAAACTCACCTTTGGAGTTGCATTCAGTTGATATACTCGTATAAATTTAACCGTTAGCTCTGGATTTATCTGCACTTTTAACTCGCACAGCTTGTGACAATTTAACCCTTGCTTTACCAGTGGTGCCATTTGCCACTCTGCGAGCGTCCCTAAATCCCATTGCACTTTTGCTCTTTCATTTTTGCCGCTTTGCCGAAACGTTTATCAACTTAATTTAGCAGTTGAGTTAAGTTGGGCGAACTGCATTTTGTGTACACGTTCTCTGTTTCTGTTCTCTGTTTTTGAATGAAATTATATACATATGTATGCATATTCTGTGGTAAAATGTATGATTTTCATCATTTACCTTTAAGCGCGCAACGCACACATGCGCACACACAAGCATAATAGTTTTCATATTAATCAGCGGTACATTACTCTTTGTCCACGTTTCTCTTTACTTTTACTATTTCCCATGCTAATTTTGCTCTTCGTTCAAGCTTTTACGTTTACTTTTGCTTCATTTTTTTGTCTTTCATCGCTTCCCTGTAATAAATTGTCAACTTTTGTGGTTTTTGCAGCTGCGTACGTCCTATTTGGCTTGCAAACCCTGTCATTCACCCATTCTACTTCTCGAAATATCACCTTGCGCATATACGCACCTGCCGCACCTAGCAGGAGAGTCAACTGGTCTGCAGGTATTACGAAGGAGCTCACCAAAGGCTTTCAGCTGCCGCTTCAAACACTTTTTTTGTTTAACAACAAAATATTCGATTTGTATAAAACAAATAGCTCTTTCGCTTACTAATTTGCAACAAAAAGTTAATAGCGCATGACGCAAAGTGATGATTCCAACACTGCGCCGTCCTAGGAGTTGAGAAATTCCAAAGAACAAAAAAAAAAAACTACATTCATCAAAATGAATACAAATCTTGATGGATAATAGTATTCTAGTAGAAAGCCATCCAGTAATTAGAATTATCCGATACATGCCAAATATGCATCGTTTTGCGCGATAACTTTTTACCATTTTGAAATGAAACTCTAATCTCTGTTGGCAAAAAACTGGGACAAACGATTTTCAGCAACTTTTCTTGAGGCCAACTCTTCACCAGGCAAATCATCAACCAAGCTTTCTTATCTTCTGGCGACTCACTAACGACGTGAGTGGTCTGGCGTTGTCCTGATTAAACACAATTCCCATTCCAGTGGCCAAAGCTGCGCTCTTATGGAAGATTGCTACTTTTATATGCCCCGATTGCTGGCAGTGCAGGCTCGAATTAAAAATTTGGCCGCAGGCAAGCAGCTCATAGTGCCAATCCTGACTTGGAGACCGGCCATGACCCTTTTCATTTGAAGTCCACCATCCGTTTTAGAAAGGGGTCGATTTTGGCACCCAAACATCCAGCTCCTTTTTGTATCCAGCCTTTTTGAAGTGGTTCCAAACTGTTTTTTGACCTAAAAGTCCGGTTTCGTCATACTAAAAGTTTCGTATTTTCAGACTAGTCCAATTTAAGTTGGGAAATTGTACTACCGAACCAAATGTTTCACCACAGGCTGTGTGTGCTACTTATCAGGTGCTACCCAGTTTGTGGGTGGTAAATCAAGTTGTTGAAAGTTGTGTAATACTTTTGGTTTTGTAAGTCTTTAAAAAGTGATAAAAGTGGATATTGGAAAAGCAGATGTTGAGAAGGATGCGCACATCTAGAGCGTTGTTGTGCAATTACGGCGCTGCTTTTTCAGGTTATGAAAATTTGTTTTGATTATGTAGAGAAAGTAGGTTGGTTTTTTTTATAACATCAAGACTTGATGAGAAAAATGCTCAAGTCAACGAGCTCAAGCATCAGTGAAATTGATGCTTCCAGGCATCCACCACGGGACTTACGTTGGTTTTCCTATAAGCATCAATTTTCCTTATTACGGTGGTCCCTCCGTGTGAAATAAGAGCTTCTCAAAAAAATCCAACGGTCGTTCGGAGGTGGCTTAGAATAAACTGCAGGTCCCTCCATTTGTTGGAAAACATCAACTCGCATAATTTGAGAAAAGAGCGGAGATAATTAACATTATTATTACAATATGTCACATACATACATATATTCGGGATTCCAAAGCATTGAAAAACCAGTAACGGTACTACTTTTCCGGTTTTTTTCCATGCAAATCTGAGTTTAACCTTAAACAAAAAAAAAGAACTGTCTTTATATCCTTAGTTATACCTTACATGGTATGGTCATGCCCATATCAGATTTATGGTATTTCATTTAAGGACTGAGTATTAATTGTCATATTTGAAGAATTGGTCTTATATAAAATATAATGGTGGCCTGATACGAAAAATTATCATTTTAATATAACAGTACATTTGTGCACCAAGTTTGGTTGAAATCAAGTAAACTCGTCAACTTGATGAACATATCCCCATGGTTCCTCTGTTTCTCTCTTCGCCGTCGCTTACTCAATTTCCTGTTACACATTTCCGTCCCTTCATCCGAGCGTTTTTACAAATCAAAAATGCTTTGCTCTAGAATTTAGTTCGCTTAGTTTGATCATAAGCAAATGTTATTTCTTGTAGTGGGAAATAATATACAAACATATTAGAGATATGTTACCTACATATAAAAATTTATCCTTCCAAAAAGTGTAGTCCTCCTTCATTTTCCTCTTACATACATACATGCACACATACATATGTATACCTCATATGTGTGGTTGTATAGTACTCGCCTACATACCCGTATAAAATTATTATTTCAAACCAGCGCCATTCAAACCAACGCCATATGTTCTTGTAGGATGAAAGCGGATTAGTTTTCGCTCCGGCTGCTCTTAACCTCACTCACAGACGCGAATTTCTGCGCGATCTAATCAATTTTTCATAAATCCATAAAAAGATATTTTTTTGTCAATAAAAATTGACACCCGATACAAGTGGCGATAAGTCAAACCAAATGAAAATTTTGGAATGGGATATTGTTGAGTTGAAATATCAATTTTCGTGTCGCTCACTAACTTTTGTACGAGTATAACAAAAAAAGTTAATTTTTTTTTCATAAAGTGAAAGTAAAAAATAAAAAGCAATAATGACATCACGTCAAAAGTGTTGACGTCAGTGACAGCAGCACTGGCAAAATAACTACAAAGGGTAAATAGGGCTGCATGTACATACATACATGCATACATACGAGTATATATTATATGTATTGTACATATATAGGCGAATCAGATAGAAGATGGTAAAGCAGTCAATATCGGTGGAAATCGTCATAACGTCGCAGAAATGAAAGGTGAAGTGGTTGCAAGGTTTTAATGCCGCGAAACCTACTCCAACCCCTGGCATTTCGCGCACATATCTACATTTGTATATGCATGTGAGTGTGTAGGTGCGCATTGCGCATCATTTCCACATAAATACATCAATAGCGGCGTTAATTCTGCCTGCACGCGTTAACGCTTGGACCAAATATAATCGCCTAATTGTCTCACACCATAGCGAATGGCGAAAGATAACAAAAACGCAATATTGCCATGACATTTTGGGCAACCAAAGTCCATCGGCGTCAAAACATTAATTTTACCGTGGATACAATAACAAAAACGAGAGGAATACATAAGAGTCGGCGCGGTGTTCAATGTTCTAAAAATAATACCTTTGTATCTGCTCTTTGCACTGTCATTATGCAATGCTGGAGAGTTGCCAATAATGTCCTTGATTTATTTGAATTTTCGAGCGGCACACACGACTCCACACACCCACACACCCCCACACACACACACACAGTATGTGTATACACGAGTGCAAAGGATCTAAATTAAGAGCGGAATTGTGTCAGAATGGGATTCTGAATGCCGTTAAACAACAAAATGCTGTTTGCACAAACAAGCTTGTACAGGTCGATCTGTCTATTGCTCGAGTACGTGTTGGATTACCTTACATGCATATGTAGCTGCGATTGCATTGACTGTTTCCCTCTTCTGTTATTTTTGCTTTTCTGACGTCGTGTGTTATTGACGCTTCATTTGTGGCATGGAATTTATTGCTGGATATTGCTTTTTCAAATACCCAACAGGAAATCGGATCGATTGTGCAAAACATCCCGATATAAGAAAGCTTCACAAAATATCTTAAGCAATACGTCCAAATTCTTGATTCGAAACTGTACTGCCAGCAATTGGACCGTCTGACGTAAGAAATTGTCGAGAATCGCGCAGATTTGACCATTAAGAGAGAAACTGTGTTTCATCAGACAACGCCAGATCTCACACACATCAATAGTGACTCGCCAGAAACGCCGAGAACTTGGTTGGGAAGATCTTGTGCATCCACCTTATAGTCCGGCACTCGCACCAAGTGGTTTGGCTGGTGGAACATAGGCCTCAAGAGGAACCTTTGAAAATTGATTATTCCAATTTCTCGCCAATAGGAACAAGAACTTCTATGAGAAATGCATAAATATTAAACAAGTTGGTTGCAGTTTGGGGGTTTTTGTTTTATATTGCGCCGAATAAAATTTAGTGGGCTTCGCCATTTTTCAAAACGTTATGAGAGGAAATAAGTTTCATTTTGAGAATTCCAGTGTACATATGTATGTATGTGTATATTAATTTTTTTTAGATCGAACTTCAGCGACTAAGCTGTTATTCGGCTAACGAATGGGTGTAAAAGAGTAGCAAAGGATTCCGGAAGGAAACGAAGAGATATGGAATGCCGAAAGTGGGACGCGCACGGAGTTCAAAATTGTTTTATGATGGACACTTAAAAAATTATATTATATTTGCTTTGTTTTTGTATAACCCAGCAGTGGGAATATGTCATTAACGTTCTCAAAATATAATTTAATAATTAATTTAGGGGTGTTGGAGTTATTGATTACGTTATATCCAGTAACCCACTAGAGAGAGACGTCTGGAAAGGTGTGCAAGAACTATCAGCTAAACTCCACATTTCTTAAAATTATTCATTTATTTATTTTTCGGTCTTTAAACAAGTCTTTTTGATCTGATCACCAAAAGTTTTCATATCTTACTTCAACAGATTTTTGAGTGTGAAGAAGTTCACCGTGGTGAGCTTTTCTAACCCCATTTTGTAGCCACAAGTATATCAATGTTGAACGGGACATTTAGTAATAAGTATTTGAAAAGAGTAGAACCCGAGGCCGTATTTTCTTTTTAGTTTAATTTTGACTTACTTTTAGCAAGATTTGAGAGGATTAAAAGTCGATGTAAAACATTTCCTCAATTTGACTTTGAACTCCAGACTCACCATGTTGTTTGCATACACTTTTCCTACTTGGCACGTACATACATTTTACATGCAGTTACGTATATATATATATATATATATATATATATATATATATAACATCCATCTATACGTACAAGTACGTATGCATTTTGCATTTCTGTTGATTTTCCGTGTTTTGCATTGCATTTGAAGTGCTATCAATGACATTGATAGGATTTGTAAAGGATAAACGCGATTAAGTACCGTTTTAAATACGAGAACTCAAGTGCGGCTCACACACAGTGAACGAGCTCTGCCGGGGCTATGAGGAAAAAAGCAACAACGTAAAATGAGAAGGGTGGATGCAGTAGTAGATGGTGGGGTGTGCAGAATCAATTTACGCAATAGTCAATAATAGTTGGGTGAAGACAGAAAAAGAAAAACAGGACAATTGTGTGCCTTGATTTTTGTTGTGCGATTTTCTGAAACCGCATTCAAATGATAACTACTGCAACTGATAGTTTTGATTGATTGCCCATCGCTGGCACACGTACAAACATAGTTGGTAGTTCAATAAATATTGCTGTTGTTGTTATTGTTGTTGTTGTTGTTGTTTTTGCTATTACTATTATTTCAACGTGTCACATGAAGCATGTCAGTACAAATCCTGGTTTAATATCGAAGAGAAAAACTGCAAACATCACAACGTCAGCTAGTTAGGCTGCACAAGTTTTGTTGACAACTTGTCTGTCAATAAGCTTGTCAAGCAGAGTCAACAAGCCGCAGAGTGCTGCTGCAGCAACGCATGCCAATAATTTAAAAAAAAAACCAATAGACACTTTATCAATGCTTTTTAAGTGGGTGCGTGCATGTACGCATGTGTGTGTGTGTGTAAGTGGGCGTGTGTGTGTGCATATACATACGTGTATGCATACAACTGGATAAATGACTGCAGCTAATTTCTGTGAAATGCAGTTGGAAATAGCCTCATTTCAGTGATTTGAGGATTCACAAATTGAATATCATTTTGAAATCATTTCCAAAGAAAGCTTTTTTTCATTTGTTCTGCAACAGATGGGAATAAAGTTTTCTGAAATTAGTTTCTCTGAAGCTTTAAGCGATCTGATTAAGGACACTGGTACAAGAACAGATGGGTGGATAGTGAAATAAGGGGTCTAAAACTAAATTTTACATACTGGTACGGTAGTTGGACCAATCCGATTCTATGGTGTCAACGAGTGGTGGTTGAATGCAACTCCACTCAATCTAGGTGCGCACTTTAAAATATTATCTCTCGCAAAAATGTAAATGCTGAAGTGATTTCGAATCTTTTTTTCACAATGAGGTAAATCGGCGCAAATTATCTGAAAAAGGTGGGTGTATTGTATTTCTGAGCAGTGTTTTCTTTTTTTTTCTTTGACCACGAATATTTTTATTGCCTTTCGGAAAAATGCAGTCAGCCTAATTCCTCACTGAAAGTTAGCTTTGGTCTCTAGCTTTCCATTGGTATTCATATGCCCGCATAATATGAATTTGATGAAATATTATGAGCCAAAAAGGAAACAGTACCCTACTTTTCATATCGAAGCCATTAAGAGTACCTCACCAGGTGGATTAGCAGCAGCGATCGGAAGGCAATTTAATGTACCTAACTTTTATGCAAACTAAATGAGAACTAGCGCGAGGCCATCGATCTACAATTTATTACACAAAATTCGTAACATCAATTACATACATTATACAAATATATATATATGTATATATGAATATATGAACATATATGTAAAATATAGATGTAAATCTAAGCTTCCATTCATGTTTGCAGAGTCACATATGTATTGTATATGTATGTATGTAAATATTGTAATTGGGTCCATGTTGTTGGCCATTCCCAATTTATTGCAATGTGTTCGGCAGCAATAGCAATCGCTACAAAATATAATAGAGGAGAAAGAATTTAGTTGCCACAAAATTGATTGCATCGCCCTTAAAAATACGTACTAAATAAGCGAATGACTTGGTGCCCATAAAAAAGCGTCACATATTTTGCTATGCGATTGAGCAACATTGGCAATATTAATGTGGTCCTATACAAGTGGTATTGATCGTTCGACCACGCCTACTGTTGGTGTACTTCCGAGTCGAGTTTCATGCACACAAATAACCACATTTCCAAACCTACATTCACATCCTCCATCTGCGACTACATTTTGTCCCAGCAAGGAAGAGCTAGAGCAGAATGAAAGAATATTAATTCCTATTTAGTATTTAAGAGATTAGTTCACCATTATAAAAAAAAAGAAACCGAAAAGAGTTATCCACCCCCACCATACCCTTTTTGTGCTCTAGCCTTACATCTCTCTATTGATTCTTGGCTTGTCGTGTTAGCTAAGTGGTTAGCGGTTATTTCTAGCTGACGTGTGAGGTAAACTAGAATTTTGCTTGTATGATGCTGATGTATAAGCGAATTATATATATATATCTGAGCGATAGTTGGTGTCGAAATACACGCTGGTTCGCAACTAGTAGCTTTACAAAGTCGAAGGATAACAGACACACACATACATATTTATATGCACACTGCTGTTACTGCCAAGTACTTTCTTTTTATGACGATTGCTATTATTAACATTGTTATTGTTTTTATTTAAGCCACTCTCATATACATTTGCGAATACTCTTGTTGTTGCACATCAATATTGTTGCCATCGACTGAATGTATTGCACTCGTTTTTATGCCATTCACTCCACCTCTACCCACAACAACAATAACACCAGCTCAACTCATTGTCAATTTGGCTTTTTTGCTCCTTTTTCTGTTTGTTTTCACTCTTGCAGCAACATACATAATTGTGTACATGTGTTTGCATGTAAAGTTGTATTTTTGTTCTTATTTGTATTGTTTTACTGCTGTCGCTTTTCGATTG